GTGGCCACTCAAGAAATAGTGAGGCACAGGAAGGGTTTTGTGGCTCCCGGTGTTTTCTTTTTTGTGGGAAACGGGTGCAAATGGCTCTTTGAGTGTTTAAGGTTGCAGATCCCTGCTGTAGATCAAATATTTAGACTTGATCTCGTGTCCTTCTATGGGCTTAAACTGTTTAGAGAAAAACATGAGAGAAAGGCACAGCAGAAAGTACTTTTGTGTGTACTTTTTTTTAAATGTAGTTTAGAGTTTTAACTTTTGCCTCTTTTAGTGAAAGAGTTCTTCCCCCATATGTCACCAGTCCACTTCTCTGCTCAGAAGCCTGATGAGTCTCAGGCCTCGGCTGAGGTTCCCTGAAATTTTCGCATAAACGTTTGACTGAAATTTGCCCTCTTAGGATTGTTGGCTTCCAAAATTCTGAAAGACAATTATGTTATCTTCCTGGAAGAAAGGGACAGATACACAGATAGTGAGCTCTTCAGCCCAATGCTTGCTGGGCTTTGAGGGAAAAAAAACCCCCAGCAGCTCCATATTTGTATAGATATTGTATCAAAAATGGCAGGATGGCATACAAAAAAAAACACCACAAAGCAATTTCACCCAACCACTCTGTCCATAGAGTTGATTTATAATAGCATAGAAGGTAACTACCACTGAATTCAGTAAAGATGCACTGTTAGCACTAGTTTTCAGCAGACATTATTAAACATGTACTTGGAACCGCAAATGTTTTAAAAGCTCAACAGATGCCAAGATCATATGCAGACCTGTATGTTGTGACATGCCCACAAAAATGCAAACAACATTTTTATATCTTGCCTATTCTTCATCACAGAATATAATACATGAGGCTCCTATATAATCTCCCATCCAAAAGGGAAAGTGGTGGTATCATCTGCTCTCAAACCAGTTCCCAAAAATAGTTCAATGGAATGAAGTGGGAGAGTTCTTTAAGATTCCATGTAAAGCAGTCTAGCAAAGATCAATTTATATTTAGCAGCTTAAAGTGCAGCGCTAGTAATTTCTTTGGACAAACAGGATCTGCGAGATGTACCCTCTATAGAAAAACAGGCTTCATCTGCTGATTGACTTAAATTCTATGAAAGCATCCAGAAGCTGAGCATACTTCTGCATGTGGGAGAATCTAGTTATTTCCTCTCCCTACTTGGGATTTGGTTTCTGTGAATGGAACCCAGAAGCTGCGTTACTAGGCAGAAAAATCTTGCCCTGGGAAGATCCACATACATACTACAGTCTTATAAAGCTTTAAATGAAGAGTGGAAGAGTGAACTTACTTTGTGAAGTGAGCAAGGCATTTTTATCCCTCTTGGGATCCAGAGTTTTGGAGCTACCTGAGAAGGAGGATTAAAACAGCCCCACCCTTTCCTTAATTGGAGACTTTATTATATTAAAAAAAAAAAAAAAGAACTGAAAGCAAGTGTGTGTGTGAATGTGTGTGACACAATTGCCAGTAGTGGGTTTTTAACCCTAGATATGGATTTTTCAATCCCTGTTTGGGTTTTAGGTTTTTTATTTTAAAATTTAATGAAATTTAAATTTTTCTATATGTTATATTAAAAGGGATGGGGTGGCTCAGTGGCTAAGATGCTGAGCTTGTTGATCGAAAGGTCGGCAGTTCAGCGGTTCGAATCCCTAGTGCCACGTAATGGGGTGAGCTCTGTTACTTATCCCAGCTTCTGCCAACCTAGCAATTCAAAAGCACATAAAAAATGCAAGTAGAAAAATAGGGACCACCTTTGCTGGGAAAGTAACAGCATTCCGTGCGCCTTTGGTGTTTAGTCATGGCGGCCACATGACCAGAGACGTCTTTGGACAGTGCTGGCTCTTTGGCTTTGAAACGGAGATGAGCCCCCTAGAGTCCGGAATGACTAGCACATATGTGTGAGGGGAACCTTTACTTTTTATATGTTATATTGTTATGTATTGATTGACACAGCTGCAGATTGCAAACAAATTCAGTATGTGTATGATACACATATAATACTAAATTTGTTTTGCAGTCCAGAGTGCAAGGTCAGTATTATAGTGGCCACCTTATTGACTGACACATCTTCCTTCTCCTAAGTGTCTCTTGCAATTGACTCTCCCAGTTTGTCACCCGATTGGCTGGCAGAAGCACCTTCATTCCTCTAAAACGAACGACACGAACATGCAGCCCCAGACAGGTCTGTGAGATTTGTTTTTGAGGGTTTTCCCCCCATTATTATTTTTTAATAATTCAAGGTGGCAACCACATCTGATATTCTTTCCTCATTCTATTTTCCCTATAACAACAATCCTATGAGGTGAGCTGGACTGAGAGTGTGTGACTGGCTCAAAGTCACCCAACTGGCTTTCATACCTAAGTTAAGACTAGAACTCACAGTTTCCCAGATTTCTAGTTGCTGCAGAGTGTGATGGGCATGGCTCAGCTAGAAGACCCTGCTCCTTCACATCCCCATTCTTTGGCCAATCTACTGAAGACAAGTGTGCCTACTCACTCCATTCACCAACAGGGAAGACCTGCCCAGACCTGTGATGGCAACAAGAAATCCTCAACTTTACAGATAGTCCTCAACATGATGCTTAACAATAATTTGAAGTTATGACATACTGAAAAAAAAGTTATTTATGATTCATGATCATAACGATGGTATGTCCGTTATAATAAAGTTATGGTTGCATGAATGCATTTCAGGCACTTGAAAACTGGCTTTCATTTATGACCAGTTGCTCAGTTATTTTTTGACCCCATGTTCAGTCATGAGGTTGTATTTCATGACTTCTTTTGCTGTTTTGTAGCAAAAATGTTGGATAAGCCAGATTCAGATATGATTCGCTTAGTGACTGCAGTGCCTCACTTAACATCCATTGTAAAAACAGTCATAAAAATCAAGGCTGGTCACATAGTGACTCGACTTAAACTGCAAACTGCAAACTTTGATGACCAAACTTCCAAGTTCAATTGTGGTTGTCAGTTGAGGTCTACCTGTAGATTATCTTTGATTTCAGTGTATGTGCTTGCATGCTTTCAAGTTCCAATTTAGTAATACATACATATATATAGTAATACAACCCCTAAAATGATGATTGAAGTGAAGAGTTGCTGAAGGAAAAATAAAAATAAAAACATGATATATTCCATTATTTCAAAATGAATGGCTGCAGGAATTTAAAGGCTGGCAAAAAAAAAGAAAAGACAATGCTATTGTGTGTGTAAATTTCACTTAAGAATGCAAATAAGTCCATGTTAACTCACAAAAGTATTGAAAAACATTAAGAAAATTTTTTGAAGCTGCAAATTCTGTAGTATTTTTCACATCTTTCTTAACAAAGAAGAGAACTCCAGAAAGTTAAAAAGTTGCAAAGGGTAAAGCCCTAGTTGCTGATTATTTTTCAGAACATCAATAAATAAATAAACTTTATTTCATTGTATGTGTATACACAGTATACACATACAACGAAATTCACTTAACACTTAAAGACCAGGTCCAACACACATAATCCCCAAACACACTCCCACCCACCACAATTCCCCACCCCTAAACCACCCAAATATCCACACAACAGACCAAGTAATACTGTCCAACAGCTCACTGTTGGTGACCCTTTAGTTCATTGTTGAGTGCAATTATAGCTCTGGGATAAAAACTATTCAGAAAACGTGTGGTCTGAGTTTTAATTGTTCTGCATCATGTGCCTTTTGCAACAAGTGAATCATCTTCAAGTGGCATTCCCAGATATTGCCAAAACTTAAATCACTTACCACATAGTTTAGCATTGGGTGTGTCAAGTTAACTAGGAAGACAGCAGAGATCTGGGAAAAGAAGATTTCAACACTGATGGGCTGTCTGCTAAAATAAAGCCAGGTCATGGCACACACTTGAAAGTAAACCAGGAAGACTGTAATTGTGGAGTCTGTCTGGCAAGAACAAAGAATGCTTATCTACAGGAAATATGCATGTGTAAATCTTGTAACAATTCTGGGTAGTTAGAAAGCTGACAAAAGTAACAAGAGTTAGACCATTTGTCTCAGCTAAAAATTAGGAACAGAGATGGCCTGCAGCAAATAAAATGTGTATTAGATAACTCTTGGGGCTTAGGAATAGGAACAGCTAGAGACCAATAGAACAAATTGAATGATTATAACTAAAATGCTTATTAGATGATATTTCTTATTATCCTGCCTCGACCCGCCTTTTTCTCTTTTTCTTTAGTGAAAATGTATAAATCTTTCTTAATCCTTTTGGCCAGGAGCACTTTTCCTTGGAGTACTCCAATAAAAAGCAATTAGAAAACCTGCACCTCGTGTCTGGTGTCCATCATTGGCTTCGGCACCAGGTTCACACACAGAGCCAAGTACTTTAGCAGCAGGAGAAAACAGTCAATTCTTGAAGCTGTATGACCACTGAAAAATGGGGAGAGAAAAACAGCCTCATTCCCCAAACCAAGCAAGTTTATAAACCAAGCTCATTGCATGCAGCACCCCAGGTGCAGAGCTCTACAAACTGGCTCCAGGAATAGAGGACTGGATGTTGGTGGAGCTTGGGGGTGGGGGGGAGGAAGGGTGAAAAGAAGAAGGCAGAAAAAGTCCATCCACAAGTCTTTAAAGGAGTAGAAAAAAATAGGCCTTCATGTTCAAATGGACTGAGATTGGCTACAAGAGCTATAGAATCTGAGGAATAGGTGAAGATTTAGGAAACCAAGACTTAAAAATAGTTAGGATACAAAAACCCACAAGACTATATACACATAAGTATATAAACATATCAATAGAACATAATGTTTCAAACTGTATTTTATTATGCAGAATATATTTATCAAAAATGTTACATCACGTTTACATAATTTTAATAGCTATATCTTTACTATGTGGGACACACCACCATATAATAAAAGAAAATACACACACACACACACACGTCCATTGTATGATGTATGTATGTATATGTATGTATGTGTACGTGTGTGTATATATATATATATATATATATATATATATAAAAAATATCCTGAGACTTTTTCCTCAAGTAAGTTCTGCCTCAATAAGCAGATATGTTCTGAAAGAAGAGGCATTTGTTGTGAAAACATGAGACTGAATGTTTTGGACGCTTCTAAAATATGGCCCTTTTAATACTGAAATGGCAATTATGTTTCTCTGCTCTGCAAACAGAAAAAGTTACTTTTGGTAATTTTTTTCCATATGAAATATTAATTGCTCAACAAAATAAAGCCTGAATTGGTTTCCTTATTGTGATACTGTTTTCCTATTCCCTTTCAGTTTATCATATCATTCCTCGGGTTTCTTTTTGTACATAATAGGAGGCTGATTCTCACAATTTTTATGGGGATTCTATAATTCAACACATCTGAAGTGCATCAACTAAAAGAAGGCTAGAGTTCATTAATTCAAGATGTCTTTACCTTATATAAAAATGCATTTATGCTTTATGAAGCAGAATCTCTCTGTGGCAGATGTATACCTATTATAACTATTCTCATTCATATTTCTTCTTTCTAAGAACTTCTTGGCAGAATTAATGTGTCAAATTGCTAAACAGAATCCACCCAGAAACAGAACAGTGCATCAATTAAAACGTAAGCAGATAATTTACTGCAAAAGTGTTATAAAAGCAAGAGAACCATTGCACGGATATACAAAAAATATAAACATTTAATACAGAACTGCAAAATCCTGGAGAAGACCAATTTCCCCAAGAAACAGTTTTTGCAAATAATATCAAAAAGTTTTCATCCATGAAAAACATTTTGAATGTGAATCAATTAAATTATACAAACAGTAGTTACATTGCGTTCAGTCTACTTCAAAAAAATCCATTAAAAAAAAACCATGCTAAATTGTTCAAAGTATTATTTTTCAGTTTTTCATCTGCATCTCTGAATAGCAATAGCACTTAGACTTATATACTGCTTCACAGTGCTTTACAATCCTCTCTAAGCCGTTTACAGAGTCAGCATATCTGAAGCTGTACTTTCATTTGATACGAAGTTCCCAGTTATTGCCAATGTTTAAGGAAAGTTTTTGAAGGGTCAGCACAGAATTTCTGCTATCATATGTGAAAGCCACTGTCTTGTCTTCTTTTCCATCTGAATTGAAATTAAAGAAATGCACATAAACATTTATTTAAAGTAAGCCATGCATATTAATGTTGTCATATATCTGCTCAAAAAACAAAGTTGTAATCAAGTTTTCTGTTCTGATCTGAAGCAAATGCTTCCAGAGTGAACACTTGTTAGGACTATCTTCTGTTCTCCACTTTAGGAGAATGTTCTTGTGGTCTTTTGAGATATGTTGGTGAGATATGGGCAAGTTCAGGACTTACTAATATCCAAGCATTCCTTCCAACCTGCTCTGCAAAGCAACTCAAACATCTACGTCTAATGGATGAAGAAAAGCGGTTGAGTTGCTCCAACAACAAAAGTAGCAGCACAAGCAGTACTGGCACATCCTGTGATATTAATCTGTCATTGCTGCTATATAAAGTGCATTAGCTCCAGTTTACTTCTGGAAGCAATTCAAGATGTTGGTTATTACCCATCAATTTAATGTTGTCATCTTGTCTTTAGGAAACAACTTTGTTGAATGGAACTTATTAAAGAAGAATTTTGTTATAGAAATTGCAGGAGTTCCATTTAATTCAGGAATTGTCATCTAGTGAGACCCAGGAAATAGCTACCTTCTGGAATATCAAACCACACAAGATTTAGTTGGCCTCAACTCTGCTCACCTTTAGAAAGCCTTGAAGCTTTCAGTGCAGCTTACAGTGCACTGTCGTACAACATTGGTGAACCTACAGTGTTGGTGAATTGTGTCTTTGGCAAGTACTTTGTATTTTAAGTGAGTGTGATATTTATTTTTGTATTGTTTCTGCATTATATTTTTTAAAATCTTTGTCAGCCACTCAGAGTCATTTTTAAGAGAAGGGTGATCATATAAAACAATTAAAATAAATAGATCCAGTTTCTTCCAATGAGAGAAATGCAATGCTTCAAATGCCCTAGAGCAGTGATAGCTAACCTTTTTGCTGTCGCGTGCCAAAAGTGGGGGGAGAGTGGTGGGGGTCTCTCTCACAGGTGCCCACATCCATAATTCAATGCGTCCCGCCCCCCCATGCATGTTCGTGCTCTTGGCACACACATGCACGGTGGGCCAGATAGGCCCTCCCCAGGCTCCCCGGGCTTTCTAGGAGCCTGAGGAGGGCAAAAATGGCCTTCCCCACCCCCCTGGAGGCCGGAAACGGCCCATTTCCCGACTTCCGGTGGGCCCGAAAGACCCAAAAATCAGATGGCTGGCGCGCGCATGCATGCTGGAGCTGAGCTAGGGCAATGCTCGCGTGCCCACAGATATGGCTCCACATGCCACCTGTGGCACATATGCCATAGGTTCGCCATCACGGCCCTAGAGAGTCTAGAGTGGAAACGAACAAATAAACTGGAAATTGGATTATTTCTGTTTCTTACCAAACATGGTTGTTGTCACAACAGAAGGCTCCTTTTTTATTCCCAAAATCAGTATCTGTTGAACTATACATTTTGTCTGGAATAGCCCTTCTTCATTAGCACATCTGAGAAAACAAAGACAGTGGTTTTTTAAAATGGATTTTTAGTTATTAAAATGCCGACTTCTTTTGGCAATTTTCCCCTAGGGAATATAGTATCTTCCCTTCTAAATGGTGGCAGGAAAGGGCTTTTTCTAAAGGGCTTTTTCAAGCTAGAGATTGTTGAAAGACATGGAGATTCCAGAGGACAAACAGGGATACAACAGAAAATAAACAAAGTTACCTCCACTTTTTTGTAGCAATAATGTTAACTCAATATCAGCTAAAGAAATTCTAATGTACCCCAAGAATTACATGGCAATCTAAAGGGGAAGAAAACAGCCTAAAGATCAAATTCAACAGAATATTTTTTTCCCCTCCTATATAGAATGTCTTTTTATTGGGGAGGGTGGGGTAGAACATAATGTAGTCTAGGAGTGTCCAACTTTGGCAACTTTAAGACTTGTGGCTGGCTGGGGAATTCTGAGAGTTGAAGTCCACAGGCCTTAAAGTTGTCAATTTAGACCTTGTCTGTTTGCAGGAGTTGGATTGTCCTGGATTGGATTCTAGACATGTCACAACCCAACTATATTAACTGAGCATGGTAGAGATTTATCTGTTCAGATATGACATAGTTCAAAATCTAATCATTCTTTCTGAGTTATTTTAGTAATATACATCATAATCACCCAAGATGAAGGGGATTTTCTGGTTCTTCAACAGGCTGGATTCATACACCATAGTTGGAATGGATTGTATGATTTGCAGTGAATGTGAGGAGTATACCAGCTAATTAAAGGTAATCCTTCACTTACAACAGTTCATTTAGTGACCAAAGTTACAACAGCACTGAAAAAAGTGACTTATGACCATTTTTCATACTTTAACTGTTGCAGCATCTCCATGGCCATGTGACCAAAATTCAGACGCTTGGCAACTGACTCATATTAATGATGATTGCACTGTCCCAGGGTCATGTGATCACACTATGTGACCTTCTGACTAGCAAAGTCAATTAGGAAGCCAAATTCACTTAACAACTGTATTACTAACTTAAGAACTGCAATGATTCACTTAACAACTGTGGCAAGAAAGGTCGTAAAATGGGGCAAAGTTCACTTAACAAATGTCACACTTAGCAAAAGAAATTTTGGGCTGAATTGTGGTTGTACGTCGAGGACTACCTGCATAACATAGAAAATCAAACATAGTAAAACAAACCGTGATTCAAAATAGATGAAAGAAAGTAATCCTAACCATTCATTTTTGGGAGAAGGAACTGAAAGTTGCAGTTTGTTGGCTCTTTATAAGTTGAAGCATGAAACTGATGAGCAATGCCAATGTAAGAGCCTATGATGATCAATACTTTCGGATTCTTCCTTCCATATTTAGAATATACTTTACCTGGAGGAGAGGACATTCTCATGGAAGCTGAACTTTCTGAGCAGGAACTGTTTCTCATGGAGATAATGAAATGAGTGGCCATCATCCAGGTATAGTTTACCTGTTGCACATCCCTATACATCAGGCAAAACACAGAACTATTTTAAAATCAAATTCACTATCATTTGGTTGTTTTGCCCAGCTGCACATCGGGGCAAGACATGCAAGCAAGCAAGCAAGCGTGCAGGTGCACACAAACACATACACAAATAGACACTTTATTGGGAACGTTTATGATTCTCCCCAGCAAAATCCACTTTGCTTTACTTTCCTGTAGTCTTAGTTACTGCTAATTAAAGAAATGAAAACGAAAATCATATTGGCATTAAAATGGAGAATGAGAGATCAGTACTGAAAAATGATACTTATTCATTTTAAATAACTTTATGTACATTTACAATTAACTATAAATAATAGTGCGTACAAAAATAGTTTTATAGGACCTTATAATCTAAGGCAGCATGCAGTTCATATGGAACATCAACCATCCATTCTGTGGATTTTCCTACAGAAATCTTTAGAGGTACAATAGTCCCACCACGTTGAAATACAGGAATCTGCAAAAAGAAAATAAATAATGGCTGGATTCACACATTACACTAAGACAGTGTTTGTTTAATCATAGCTTATTAAATTAACCATCATTAGATGAATTCTCACAGGATTGTAAGCCATAAATCAAATCACAATGTTTGTCATAAAATATACAAATATATATATACAAATATACAAAGCCAAAGCCATACAAACTGTGGCTTAAAATATTGTATGAACCCAGCCAGTAAATAAGTACAATAAAATAATTTTTGGACAAAGGAAGTAGACAATGAAATACTTTTTTGTAGTTAGCTCCTGCTTAGCATATACTATTTGATTCAGAACATTGATAGTTACACATTTTAGATTTAAATCTTTGTAAATTCTACATTTAAATAAACAGATTTCACTAAACTAGAACTCCAGTTTTAATTAAATTAAAATGAAGATAAAGCTTTTTTAAAAAAATTCTTAAAACAAGCATATACATTGTTCAGTGTTACTGGGATCTTCAATATGCCATGACCTTCCAGACGTCTAAATTTTCGGAAATCATACCAAATCTGTCAAATAATAAGAAGGAAACAAATGAGCAGGAATTAGATTTTAGATACAGAAATCCCATATGAACTCTTATAGAAAAACAAATCAATAAATAATGCATAAATCTCAAACAATTTCGAAGTATCAAGCAACACATAAAATAGCATTAAGTTGAGAGTAGTAAGTTTTCACATGGACAACTATAATCAATGAATCCACCATTTTACATTTTTCTCAAAAACTGTTGTACATTTATTCAGCTCAAAACTCCCACTCAACCATTTAACCAATTGGCCAGAAATGGGATTCCAGAAAATAAAAATGCTAGTCTCCCTAACCCTTCCCTGAAGCAGCAGCCGGTTATCCTGATTTAGAGTTGGCTGGTACAGTAGAGGACTCTCTACAGAAAGGGTTGCTTTTTGAAGAGGAAGAGAAAATTACTGCCTTATGAATAAATAAATAAATAACTTTATTGTCATTGTACGTGTATACACAGTATACCCATACAACGAAATTCACTTAACACCCAAAGACCAAGTCCATCACACATAACAATCCCCAAACACATTCCCACCCAACACAATTCTCCACCCCTAAACCACCCAAACATAACTTGTGCTCCTTTCTGTTAGGGAAATGAGCAGTGGTGAAATCCAAATTTTTTTACTACCGGTTCTGTGGGCGTGGCTTGGTGGGCGTGGCAGAGGAAGGATACTGCAAAGTCTCCATTCCAACTCTACTCCAGGGGAAGGATACTGCAAAATCCCCATTCCCACCCCACTCTGGGGCCAGCCAGAGGTGGTATTTGCTGGTTCTCCGAACTACTCAAAATTTCCGCTACCGGTTCTCCAGAACCTGTCAGAACCTGCTGGATTTCACCCCTGGAAATGAGGCTACTAGTTTTATTGGCAAAGTATGATAAAAATAGGCTGCACAGAAAGCAGTTTTCATATTAGTATATTTTCCATCCGTTTCAAATAGAGAAGGAAAAGCATATTATTGCTGCTGTCTTGTTGAGTTCCCAGAGATTTTGGAAGTTGAAATCCAGAAATGTCTAGAGTGCAAAAAATTGCCTATCCTGAAAAGTAACCACGAAAAAGAATCTGAACTTTTCTGTTGCTTCTCTTTTAGTAGGTGAGAGGTGTTTCCTGGAATTCAAGCTCTAAAGAGCTTCAAAGCAGTGGTGAAATCCAAATTTTTTTACTACCGGTTCTGCAGGCATGGCTTGGTGGGCATGGTGTGGCTTGGTGGGTGTGGCAGGGAAAGGATACTGCAAAATCTCCATTCCCACCCCACTCCAAGGGAAGGATACTACAAAATCCCCATTCCCTCCCCATTCATGGGGGAAGGATATTGCAAAACCTCCATTCCCACCCCACTCTGGGGCCAGCCAGAGGTGGTATTTGCCAGTTCTTCGAACTACTCAAAATTTCCGCTACTGGTTCTCTAGAACCTGTCAGAACCTGCTGGATTTCACCCCTGCTTGAAAGAATCAAAGCCTTATGTTGAACTGGGCCCAGAAACAAAGTGGTGTTGTCAAAAGCTTTTCAAATTCAAAACCGATGGTGGGTATAAGGCATTATAATGATTGCCATAGTTCGAGTATGGAATTATTCGAGTATCAAGCAAAGCATTGTCTAAGGAATAATAATTCTTTATATCTCCAAGACTATTCTAGAAAAAATTTAATATGTTATCTAGAAATTTATTTTTATTTATCAAATTTATGCATCACCCATCTCATTATCTAAGTGACTTGGTAAATTTACAGATTAGAATCATGTAAAAATAGTTAATAAAACAGAATTAAAAACAGAGTTAAAAAAAAAAAAAGCAGAGGGAGTGCCCTCAAGCCACCAAACACCCCCAGGATCGGATACCATGCTTGGATCTCCATGCTAGTTGGCAGAAAGGTCTTAACGCTCTTCCAGAAGGCCAGAAGAGTAGGAGCCAACCTCACCTCTGGGGGCAAGATGTTCCATAGGTGGGGGCAATGACAGAGATGGCTCTCAAAATAATTTAACTGATGGGGTCCATATCATACCCTGCCTGACCTAAAATAGATACTGGATGTTACTAAAGGAACATTAGTTCATATGACTCTACTTTTCACTCTTACTGACTTTTTAAAAAATTATGGCCAAGTACTGCATAGGTTTCTTGATCGAAAAACAAAAGTTTGCATGAGGTTATTAAAATAATAACGCAAGCTAGTATTTGAACACTGATAATTTAATTATCTTAACCGAAATGCCTAGCTAACCAAGCTTGGTCCAGATGTTAATGAAAAAATTGTGTGTGTGAGTACTGCATGTGATGTGTGTGCTTGGGAAGGTGGAATTAATTCCATTTCTCTTACCTCTTGTGGGCCTGGCAGAAAGACATTGGCTGCACTGATTTTTGGAGCGGTGACTGGATGTACCAATAATGCACTTCCTAAATTAAAAACATAAAAATGTATCCATTACACTTTTCATCTCTTATTAACTAGCAGAATTTTAAATACTTGTTTATAAATGTGATCTATGATTCTAAGGAAGACCTTTATGTTCAGGTTCTGTGCCCATCACTCAATGTCTTGTGCTACTTGATTACATATGCCACCAAAGGAGACTATACATAATATAGAATATGCTGAAATAGCAATGCCTCAGCCAACTCAGAGGAGCCTTAATCAATACAACAATATGCAACTTCTCCAATTCTTATAAAATTGGCTATATAAATTGGAATAATAAACAAATTAGGAAAAAATGGGGTACATAATGCTGCAACTTCAGAATAAATAGTAGACATTATGGATAATTTAAATTTACCAAGCATGTACTCATCTTCAATGCCAAAAGTTTCTAATTCCTTTGGAAATTCCACCCAGAGAGGCCTATGAAAAACAAAGGCATTTTACTATTCATACAAATGCTAAGGAGCATAATTTTCTCTCCTCTACTACATCTATTTATAGCTTCTTAAATTCATGCTTTGGATGTGGGCATTAAAGTTGCTATTTTAACTATTTAAAATATCTTTGTGTCTGTCTGTCTGTCTGTCTGTCTGTCTCTCTCTCTCTCTCTCTCTTCTATCTATTTATCTAATCTATCTATAATTCCATTCTCATTGGAAACTGAACACAGAACAAATGCTGTATTCGAAGTTTAAAAGATGCACTGACCAACAATGGGAACAGCTGAACAACAATCATTTGAATGGATTGGGTTGGGAGAGTGCTGACTGCTCTTTAGAAGGCCAGATCCTGAAGATGAAACTCAAATACTTTGGCCCTCTAATGAGAAGGAAGGACTCACTGGAGAAGAGCCTAATGCTGGGAAAGATTGAGGGCAAAGGAAGAATGGGATGACAGAGAACGAGGTAGCTGGATGGAGTCACTGAAGCAGTAGGTGTCATCTTAAATGGACTCCAGAGGATGGTAGAGGACAGGAAGGCCTGGAGGTATGTTGTCCATGGGTTCGCAATGGGTCAGACACGACTTCGCAACTAACAACAACAACAAGTTTGATATCTCAGTCATCCAGTGAGCTTCCTTGGCTGAGTGGATTAGAAACAGCTTCTCCTTGCTCCTGGGCCATACCTTAATCACCACTATACCACATGAGTTATAATAATATAATTATAAAATTATAATGCAAATGTGACATAATTAGAAAGTTATTAAATATATAAGAAAGAATCATAAATGATATTTTATCAACTTTATTTACATATTTAAACAAATCAAATTTAGTTTTGGTCCTATCCTTTCCCCTGACTTTTCCTGGTTCAACCAATTTTTTAGAATTTGGTCCCTGGTATGCCAGTCAAAGGCCAAGAAGAGCCACCAGTCCCCACAAAGCTAATTTACAATAGTCCCAAGAGCAATAAATGGAAAGTTGATTTAAAAATCATTTGCTACCACTTCCTATAACAAAACTCTGGGAAGCTGTATATATAGAGAGTAAGGAAGATGACCTTGATGGGCATATTCAAACTCTATTGCCAAAGCAACAGGGGATAAAACATTAAGTCCAGAACATTCAGAAACCACTGAAAACCAACTCAGATACCCTCCTAACTATAAGTCAGAGGAAGTAGTATAACACAATCAGACTTGCAGGACTGCTATCAGCCCTAATAGATAGACCAGGTCAAGAAACCATCACCACAGATAAGCCCTGAAACGATATTGCGATTAAGATAAGGTCTTGAAAGTCTGATTAGGAATTGTATTCCAAACCTCATTTAATCCTAGAAAATGCAAAGAGTTTCAAGGTAAACCTATCATTGGCATGTTTTTTTACCAGCTCATGATAAACAAATGGTGTCCTAAGAGATCACAGCTAAAGTAGTGAACGAGCATCTATGCATTTCAATACATTATTCATTAACATTTCTATGTGTTGTTTAACCATAAACTCTAGATCCGTTACAAATATTTTGGCATAAAGCAGAAATTAAATCTTTTCAATGACTGGCTTACCTCATAACTGGTTCAGCCATGCTCTGTGCCTGATAGAACAGTGTATAAAGGTAAGGAAGGAGGGAATAGCGCTCCTTAATAGCTTCCCTGATTATCTTTGTGTTCTTTTCCCCAAATAGCCAGGGTTCACGACGTTTGGTATTCATACTGGAATGGCCTCTGAAGAAAGGCTGCAAAGCCCCAGCCTGATACCATCGAACCAGTAGTTCTGGTTCTGGATTTCCAATAAATCCACCTACATCCGCTGGATATCAAAATAAATAAATAAAAAAAAAATTGTTTTGTCAGAAATTGGTGAGAAATTCAAACTTCTTGGATTGTCCACATTTATTAATAGAGTTATATGCTATGTCCTAAGACGAAACAGGTTAATTTTCAGAAAAATGTATAAATGTTTTACTTAAAAACAAACTCAGACATTTTGAAATGTCTGAGTCTCTTTTTAGACTTCAGAAGCTTCGCCTACTACTTTTTATTTTGTTTTAATGGACTGTAGTATGCTTTCTGAAAGAGGAAAGGATGCCATTTGTCCAGTTAAATGGAGTTGATAAAGAAATATATATCTTACCTCCACAGAAAGAAATTCCCGCAATGCTGATTGTCAGCAACATTGGAATGGAGATTTTCAAGTAACTCCAATCTGCTTTATTGTCTCCAGTCCAAACTGCACCTGCAAATCATAGGGCAAAATCTTACCCCTATCTGTATTTAGCTATAAGGCCAATTGAATTGAATGGGCTTTGCTTCCAAGTATATATCATACTTTATGTCACTACAGATATATGTTGCCGGCCTTACAGTGTTAATGACTAAGTGGAAATTGTATTGTCATGAAAATTGTGTATTGCCATGGATCTACACAATTGCAAAAGGCCTAAGTTACTTACTTACAACACTGTTTCTGCTTTAAGAAGAGACTGTATTCCACAGTTCTTTATGGTTTGATTTTTAACACATATGCCATGTAATGTGCTATGAATTCATATATGTCTTTAAGCAGTGGTGGGATTCAAATAATTTAACAACTGATTCTCTGCCCTAATGATTTCTTCCAACAACCAGTTCACCAAACTGCTCAGGAAGTTAACAACCGGTTCTCCCAAAGTGGTGCGAACTGGCTGAATCCCACCACTGTCTTTAAGGCTGTAAGTATATTTTGGAAAATAATTCAGCAGAGGCATCTTTGTGCACATTTATGTGCCTAAATGATAAAAGCAGTGTTACGCTAATATGACACAAATGCCATGTCTTTCGTATGTGTGACACAGCACAAATAAGATGAAACCGTGGAATTTGCACTCCGTAAGATCCTGTAGATGTCTCTTTAACTAAGTGATTTCCACTATCTTAAAAATCTGGCCATCCTAAAAGTTTGGAATTTGCTCTCCCATTATTTTTTATAATTTTCATTATTTACCTCTTCTTTATTTAATTCATGTATTTATTTAATTTATATGCCGCCCATTTCCCTAGGCAGCTTATAATAATTAAGGTCTAGGATAGATAATATTTTTATTTTTTAAAAAAATCATTTGCTATGTAAAAAGAGGCTAAAGTACAACAGCAAAGCATTTGTTATACTCTCCATCTGTCAGCATGTCAGGTGCTTTGCATGTCTTCACATTTCAAATTCAACCTTTTACCATGTTTCGTATAGCATGACTGTCCCGACTATAGGGACAGAGAGAACATGATTTGTTTATCAATGCATTTTTTTTTTAAAAAAAAAGTGATTTAAAAAAATGAAGTTCACCAATACCCTTCAGAAATAAGCAAACAGAATGGTATGGATCTCATTTGGACTCAAGCCAGCAGATGAAATAAATCCGTATTTTCAGTTTAACAGCCTAAATTGTTCTAAATCTGATTAACCAAAGTTCTCTAGAGATCATCTGATTTAACTGTGGATCACAGTAGGATTAAAGGGAATATGTGCACAGAAAAACACATATACTTGCATCTCTTTTACTTTCAAGCATACACAATTGTTCAAATCATTGAATAGCCTAGAAATGGTTAAATCCAGACAAGGGCCATACCAGACAAAGATCAGTCTTCCTCGACACTTACCATACTTCTGTGATCCAGCAAAGAAAGAGCGGGTAAGAACAAAGGGTCTCTCCAGTCCTCCACTTCGTTTCACCAGCCCTTCTGCGGTTGCCATTTGCTGAAAAAGTTATTATTACCAGTACTGTTGTTATTATACTGTTACTGTATTATATATCCCATCTTTACTTTGAACAACTCAGGTTGGTTTATTTTCCTCACAACTGTCCCAGGGGTGGGTTCTACTTACCCTTACTACCAGTTCACAACTGGGCCGCGCGCACGCTCTTCTGTGCATGCGCAGAAGCGTTCTGATGACGTCAGGGTCGGTGGGCGGAACCCCCCACCAGTTTTACTACTGGTTCTGTAGAACCGGTGAGAACCGGGGGCAACCCTCCACTAAACTATCCCAAAGGTTCTTGTTCAAAAGGCAACTGGACTCAGTTCAGAACTGAAGAAGCTTCTTGGGTGAGAAGCAAAATGTCTTCAAGGAAAAGCAAAGGAAGTCCAGTTGCTTTTTGAAAAAGCACCTTTGGGACAACCATGACCTGGATGACTGAGAATCTCTGTAGACATTTTATGCACAACTGTGATGGGTTGGCCTGAGAAAGTATGACTGGCCCAAAGTCACCCAGCTGGCTTTCATACCCATTTTTAAGGAGGGACTAGAATGCACGGTCTCCTGTGGCTTATTCAGCACTTTAATCACTATGCAGCACAGTAATGGTAAGCAAAACATTTTTAGCAAATGTTGCAATGGGATTGGAATTATACAGAAGTGAGGGCCAGGAATGATAAAATACAGCAGAAGATATTGAAATAGGAAACATAGAAGTGACACATCTTAGGAACAGAAAGAAAGGAAAGAATGACATGGTATATAATAAAGTAATGTACTTTGTAATGTTTTGGAATAAAATATGATATTGTGCAATATACTTTGCTGAGGTTTGTTTTTAAGTAACATTAACAGCTACAAAGATTTTAAAATAATTTATTATAGTACAAAGATTTTAAAACAAATTATTGTTGTGATTATAATGGCACTATTTTTTTAAATTAATGAATTTATAATCCACTTTGATTAAGGCAACTATAGACAAAATGCAAGATCAGCAGCCACAGGCAATACAATAATAAGAACTACCAGTATTATACCTGTTAATTCAGTTGTAATTGTCCTACCTGGTAAAAGCCATAGAGATTATGAACATCTCGATGTTCCCATTTGCCATAATGAATAGCATCTTTTGACATGCTTTGTTCTATCCCTTTGAAGACTGAAGGCTCATTCATATCATTCCAGATAAAAACAATTTCAGAAGAACTCTGTAGGCCAACATTTAAGTTTCTTTAATGTATTAGTTAAGTACAAGAACTATATCTAAATACTTGTACTAATTAATTTTGTCCACACTGCTTTGAAAGGTGTGCTCTTCTTTTTCTTGCCTCTTTGCCTGTCTCTTGCGCCTGAGACCCAACTGAGCAGAGAATGATAATCAGATATGAAGGTTTCCTTCTTGGGGGTTATTCAGAATGGGGATACCTCACATACCTTCTCAATTCAAATAGACGTTAAACCAAATAAAGTATTTAAGATGGTACATTCCACTTATTTCCAACTTTAACTCAAATGGAATTTGCATGAGCTAAAAGTTCTCTAGATATCTTACGCAGAGATGACTGTCAGAGATGACAGATATTTCCAAAATTAAGCAACCCAGCTAGTATAGAAATCACATTAATAGATAGTAATATTCTGTGGATCTTGACCATATTATTACAAAACACAAACCTTGTATGTTTTGAAGTCAAACTGATCTGCATACCATTGTCGGACTTCAGGATTGGTAAAATCCAGGTATGATGACAGACCTGCAGATGTTAAAATTGTATTATATTTGCAGGAAGAAAAAGCAAAATTGGATTTTTCTTCTGTGTCATATCCCATTCCAGTAATAGAAAATAATGTTCAAGCCAATGTAATAATACATGAGACAGATACTTATTATTGTCATTTCTGGTTCTGACAAATGTTAAGATACAAATAAGAAGAGAGGCAGAAATAGAGAGAAATCTGTCAATTGTGAAGATAAGGATCTTATCGATTGATTTCAAATAGGTCAATTACAATTAATGAGAAAATCCATTTTGATCTAACCTCCTATGTGCTTCTTTGAAGTGATTTATAAAACAAAGAGAGTTTATTACCTGGCCAGCAGCGACCCTCAAAATCTTCACCATTACGATCTTTTATAAAGAATCCTTTCGCTTTTGCTTGTGAGTAGATAGTGTAAAGAGGATCAATCTTAAGATGTGGGTCCACAATGACAACCAGCTGCCAACATGAGAGATAATAACACAGCCTTATTGTTGACAGAATAATATGTTGCGGGAATGTTTAGAATAGCCTTCCGTAAGCTGATATTCTCTTCTAGATGCTTTGGATTCATAATTGCCAGAATTCCCAGTTATACTGGCTTTCAGCAAATTAAAGCAGATGGAAAAGCATATGTAAGAAGGCAAAAATCTTCCCAAGTTAGCTGGGGAAAAACAGAGAATGCTTAGACTATTAAAGAGAATTTGCTAATATGATTGTTTTCTTCCGTAGATGTATTTCTTTCCAAACAACATTTATTTTAAAAATTTCAAGGAAATGGATGCTTTCAGTAGCCAATGGATACAAAAAGCCACGTAGCTACATTACTTTCCCTCTATTTTTAGTGCATTACATACCTTGCGTTTTTTCTTCATAAGTATCTGCTTCTGCATCTTCTCAGGATTGGGAAATCTCTTCTTATCCCAAGTGAAGTACCGTTTGCCATCAGTGTGTTCAATGTCTAGCCATATGACATCATAGGGGATGTCAAAGGTATCAAAACCTGCATCTACTTTTTCTACATCATCCTCATCTTCATAATTCCAACGGCATTGATGGTACCCAAGAGAGAAGAGGGGAGGCAGAGCCTGAGTGCCTATGAGGAAAAGGAAGAGGGGAAAAAAATTGTGCTGCGATTCAAAATATAACTAAGGACATATTAAATGATAAATATTTCATTTTTACTCTTCCACTTAGTATAAATAATCAGGACAGGTTTCCATGCCATATGTTGTATAGTTGATAGATTAATTATGGAAAACTACATAAAGGAAATTTCTTCATAAGCCAATACCTGTTAGCTGTCCATACTGCTTAAAAATATCAAAAGGACTGGGTCCCTTTAAGATGAACATGTCAATTATTCCACTTTCTGACATCCAGCGCACATCAGTTTGAGGCACCACCCTCTGCTTGGACATGTTTGGAGTTTGGGAAGGTAAAACCTTTAAAACAAACATATAAGAATACTTACAAATAGTGTTAAATGCATTTATTAAAAAATAATAAAGGTAGGATAAAAAATTCTTTAAAAAGTTTTCCAGCATTAATAATAACTTCCAGTGACCAAAATGGCTTGAGGTGATGGCCGATGTTATTCAACTCAACATGAGATTTTCAGATTGGCAGAAGATATTTTATAAAGTTATTAATTCTTACACAATGCAGCAATACCTCCATGCAGAACATATTCCACCTCTCCTTCATTGAAGCTTTTGTAGAAATCTCCACCAATGTTTCTGACGAATTTAGCCAAAAGACTCCAATTGTCTGATCAGGCTTATGGGCTAAGAGTAAGGGCACTGAACCATAAATGCCCATTTTGTTGTGGATGGTATACCCGAAGACATCTAGATTATAAAGCCGGTAGACATCATCATCACTGGAACACAAAGACAAATGAATTGTTTGTAGAGATATTATTTTATGTCATCCAATGTGAGAAGAGGGTATTATATTGTCACAACTGCCTTGTGGTGCTATGGAATAAGTTTTCCACAGTAATAATTTATACAAGTTTTCCTTGTCCTGATGTTTCTCCAGTTTTGTTGCAGTTCAGTTATCATAACACATAGTGCATAAGGTGATAGCTAGATTGCTGAGTAAGATGTCTGGCTCTGATCATCAGTCCATCTGCTCACCCCATCGGATTTGTATCCCAACTTTCTATATCGCTATTGATCAACCATGCTGGCTTTCAGTATTCATCAGCCGAGACCATTTTATGCAACATGCCTGTATTTGCTCCTCCTTCTCCTTGCTCAGTCACAGCATATCACATGGTGTCAACCTGATGGTGAGGCTACTTGCAACAGTGGGCACTCCTTTGGAGCAACTCATTCAGCTAATCATGGCTGTGTAGCTCATACTGGCTTTTCCCCTTCACTTGGATCTTTCAGGATCTGTTCTGCCCAACTATGGACCCCAAAGAACGCAGCACACACAAAGTTTGTACAAACATTAGTTTACTAAATTAAATCAGTCTTTTTCAAACAAAGGCTGTTAATTAACTTTCTTAACAGCCTACAAGAATCCAAAGAATAAATAATTGTAATCTTACTATGGTTGGCAGAAAGCCCAGAAGCAATTTGCAGAGAACTAAGATCAAGACACGAAGAGACTGAACGAAGTTGTTCTCTGCAAATTGCCTCAGTCGTCATCCTTCCTTAAATAGGCTAAGGGCCAATTAGCCCCAAGCCTTACTCTCGAGACATCCTCCTGAGGAGCCACTCCTGCCTTTTGGCAGCTCTGCGTGCCTGTGCATCGAGAAGAGGCTCTTCCTCTTCTTCCTCTTCACTTATGGAAGCTTCTGGAGGTTCTGAAGGCCCTGGCTGAATCCCCGCCTCTGGCACCACATCTTCTCCAGCCTCCTCATTGTCCGACTTGAGTGCCAGCTGTACAGCCTGCTGGCGCAGCACCACACCAGCCTCCTCACTGTCGGAATCAGCTACTAGCTGCACAGGCCGCTGACGGGCCACAACAGGATCTTGGTGGAGGATCTTGCAATCCTAGATGCTATTGCTGCCTACAGATTGCTCAAGACTCATTCTAATTACCGAAGTAGTCTGTAAGCAAAACTAGCATTTAGTAGTGCGATCAAAAGAACCCTTGAAAGATCATGAATGACTCCGAAGGGATGACGTCTTTTATCATGAGTGGAGTGAGTTTTTTTTTAAAAAAAGAACAATTGTGCTTGCTGTGAGAAAGCCATATGATGCCTTGTGATCTTTTGCAGCAGAAAAGATGAACAAATCCTGGTACACCGGACAGACAACTTGACCCCAGCAATAAATGTATTTTTATTTTTTGTTTATTATAACCCATCTTTCATTTTGTTCACACTTAAAATATCCAATAAAGTCCCCAACTTGAATGGGTATAATGAAATGCAGGTAGTCCTCGACTTACAACAGTTCATTTAGTGACAATTTGAAGTTACATCATCACTGAAAAAAGTGACTTATGTCCGTTTTTCACACTTACGAGCATTGCAGCATCCCCATGGTCACGTGATTTACATTTGGATGCTTGACAACTCACATTTATGATGTCCCGGAATCATGTGATTGCCTTTTGTGATCTTCTGGCAAGTGAAGTCAACGAGGAAGCCAGTTCACTTAACAACTGCCTTACTAATTTAACAGCTGCAGGGATTCACTTAACAAATGTGGCAAGAAAAGTCATAAAATGGGGCAAAGCTCACTTAACAACTTTCTCACTTAACATAAATTTAGGGCTTGATTGTGGTCGTAAGTCGAGGACTACCTGTATGCATTTTAGTTTTCAACAACAGGTAAGTAAAACTGTGGATAATGACACAACTGAATATTGAGGATCATCTCTCCCTGTTAACGTATTGCTGTTGTGTACATCGTGTTTTGTAAATTGGTTCGAGATATGCTTTTGTATGGAAGTGGCACATGTTATACTAAATAATATCAGATAGGGATTATACAGATTGATATCCTATGTATTTGGAGGTCAGCAAAACAGGAAAGGGTGCTTCATGCTATAAATAGCACATTATTTAGTGAAGTTATCTGTCATCAACATCTCGCGTCACTGCATGGGTAAATGCTGTTCATACTCTGTGTTATTCTGCAACAGGCAGTGCTGGTGTCAGATTATAGTTGGCTGGATGTATGGTAGTGTTGTAGCTCCGGCTATAGAGGGAAATCATAGCTGTTCTGGGTTAACAATGACTATCCAAATATAAATGTGTTTATTCAGAAATAAATCACAAACTGTTCTATAAGGCTTGCTTCCTAGCAAATACACTTAGGATAGCAATCTTGGAATTGTACATAGCCCATTTTTTCTTGTAAAAATGTACACATGTCTAGGCATTTGTAGGTTATATAAAGGTATTTGTATGTTACAGATCAGGGGTCAGCAACCTGCGGCTCTGGAGCCGCATGTGGCTCTTTCACCCCTCTGCTGCGGCTCCGTCACTCAAAATATGCGTCACAACCGCCAATGTGCCACACCCGCCGGCACATGATTTATTGAACTTTTCAACCATGGATAAATCCAAGAAAAGAAAAGTTTCAGAAGAAAACAGAACATTTAATTCAACTACATAGGCTAGTTTTGTGGCTGCTCGAGAAATAGTCAGGCACGGGAAGGGTTTTGTGGCTCCCGGTGTTTTCTTTTCTGTGGGAAACGGTTCCAAATGGCTCTTTGAGTGTTTAAGGTTGCAGACCCCTGTTACAGATTGTCCTTGATTTAAGACCACAATTGAGCCCAAAATGTCCATTGCTAAGCAACAGAGATGTTAAGTGAGTTTTGCTCCATGTATGACCTTTCTTGACACAATTGTTAAGTGAATCCATGGACCTGTTAAGTTAGTATCATGGTTGCTCAATGAATCTGGCTTCCCTATTGACTTTGCATGTCAGAAGGTCACAAAAGGTGATCGCATGACCCCCTGGACACTGCAACTGTCATAAACACATGCCAGTTGCCAAGTGTCTGAATTTTGATCAGGTCACCACAGAGATGCTGCAATGGTCATAAGTGCAAAAAATGCTCATTAGTCACTTTTTTTCTGTGCCATTGTAACTTTGAAACGTCACTAAACAAATGGTTTAATCTAGGACTACCTGCATACATTTTGCTGAGCATTGAATCCTGCGGTGAATGTAAAGGGAAGGGCAGAACAGACTGAGCATGTCCTCCATTCTGTTTTTCTTGCAAGGGATTCTCTATGGAGATTCTCAGTCATCCAGATCATGTTTGTCCCAAAGAGGCAACTGGACTTTCTTGTTTTTTCTTTGAAGATGGTTCACTTCTCATCCAAGAAGCTTCTTCAGCTCTGACTGGATCCTTCCATTCTCCACCATCCAGTCAGAGCTGAAAAAGTTTCTTCGTTGAGAAGGGAACCGTGTTCAAAGAAAAAAAAACAAGAAAATCCAGTTGCCTCCTGGAAAAGCACCTTGGGACTTGCAAGGGATATTTGAAAGAAAATATTTATCTAGAATGTAACTCTTGGGAAAACATTGTAACCGCAAAGAAAGCGAAAGGCCACCTTCAGCAATTGACTGCTCTGAAGCTTTTATGTTGAAGAAAACAGGAGATGAGGAGCAAGAAGCAGGAAAAACAGAAGCATGGGAATGCCTGGGTGATTAAAGCTGTCTTGAGTCTAAATGGCTCCAGTAAATGAGGAAGGTGCTTAAAAGCCAGGGGAGCGGAAGCTGATTGGAAACATTTGTTTATTGTTAGGTTTTAATTCAATCCTTTCAACAGAAGGTGTGGTACACAGCACTTCCTTCTCTTCTTTTGCCCTCTCCCCCAATAACAAATCTGACAGAGAGGTTAGGCAGAGACAAGATGACCTTCAAAGTCACCCACTGAACTTCCAAAGCTAAAAGGAATAGGAGTCTTGGTCTTCCCTGTCCTAATCCAATTAATCCTTCACCATTGCTCCACACTGGCTTTCAGGAAAGGATCATTTGAATGGATTAGCAGTGCTGTCTAGGGAATGCTGTATGACATTCTAGGTGTTACGAGAGAGGCTGCTGAGCTACTTCCTCCTGGTAGTGAATGTGGAACACATTCATTTCATGTTATACCATTAATTTGGCATAGCTATGATTGTTAGTAGCCAAAAGCCCCCAGATCTTGACTAAAAGCCTTGAGCTATGGTGACATTCAGAAAATTTCACTATCTTTTGATGCTTATTTCATTACCTGGTATTTTTCAAGAGGAGGGTTTCTGCATGCTGAGGTATTCCATAGAGATGTTCAAATCCATGCAAAGAAACATCTAAACCTACACTGCTAGGACCTGTATTAAGACAGAGTAGCATTGTGAGGAACTGAAAACACAGGGCAGCATGAAAAAGTAAATTTTGAGCAATACAAAAATCATCAGCCACGCTACCATCCGCCATGTTAATGAGTTCATCAAAACCTGGAATTCTACAAGCAATTCTATCAACAGACACACTGAGTTACAACCAGCCTACGAATTCCTCAGAATCCAAATCAACTGCACAGCCAACCAGAGACAGCACCGAGGCTCAACCAACCCATGGAATTCCCACCACCACCACCAGCAGTTCAACTCCCAACAACCCTGACCTGAGGTAATCTCCTTATTACAAGACCCATTACAAGACCTATCACAAGACTCACTGATAGCTCACAGATCATCTATCCCAAGATCAAATGTTTGACACGTTCACACCTGAAGCCCTTATAAACAGAAGAACACTGACACTGATATCCTCTAAACTCCCCTGAAAATGTTACCTAGCCTGGTAATGAAATGTCCAGAAATTAACCCACAAGCTCAAGAGAACGAATCTTCACCCTCATACATTAGTATGATTGAGAGAAAGGACAACATTTTCAATTATTAGACAATAGCTAAACATTGGCAACTTGATATGCTATCCTCATTATCCCAAGGTAGCAAGCAATGATCCCCAATATTTTTATAATTACTTTTACAAAAATGGAAATGACCCAAGTTTGCATGATATCCAGGTTTTCACATAAAAATTGATGAGATTTCAATCGAACTGATCAAATTCAGAGCTGAAAAAGAATGATGGTCTCTGAGCCACTTACCATTAGCTTTGATATCTAAAAAGTTGCCAATTTTTTCTTCCCAGAGACCTAAATGTTCTTCAGTTTCCTTAGATAAAAGGAAAAGAGATGTAACTCTATCATGGACTAGCCAACAGAACCTAGCATAGTCTAATAATACAATCAGTTTACAATCTAGCTCTGAGTTACAACTAATTCCAAGCAATATTCTACAATGAAATCACTGAACATTTCAGACCATGCCCTAGTTAATAATTGTCAGTAACTGGCTTATTTCTGTTGTACCCAAATAATGCACTGATCCCTTCCAGATTCATATTATTATTGTTTAAAGAATTTTTTAAATCAAAACTTATTATTTCCACCATAGGACTGATTTGTCCCTTGGACAAACTGACCAGATAAAAATCCATACATCTACAATAGATTAAATTTACCTTAAAAGAGTCTGCCAATCCACTTTCCTCTTCTTGTGAAGTAGATTTCCTTTAAAAATTAAATGTATTCAGTGTTTAATTACAAGCAGATCATCAAAATAAAAATTATTTTAGAATAAAAAATAATAATTATAAAAATAATTTAAGAGCCTTGGTGGTGCAGCAGATTAAAGCACTGTTAAGTAACACCAGCTGCCTGCAATTACTGCAAGTTCAAATCTCACCAGGCTCAAGGTTGACTCAGTCTTCCATCCTTTTGAGGTAGGTAAAATGAGGACCCAGTTTGTGGGGGCAATAAACTGACTTTGTATAAAAAAGAACATCGCTGGGGGGGGGGGAAGCCCTACTAAGCAGGTTTATACAAAAGTATGAAGGCTATTGCTTAATGCATTGTAAGCAGCCTTGAGTCTCCGGAAAAGGGCGGCATATAAATCGAACCAATAAATAAATAAATAAATAAATAAATAAATAAATAAATAAATAAGAATGTTAATTATCCCAACCTACAATAATTGATCTGATACCGATATTGCTTTCTGTATGTTTAATGATATATTTTTGTCTTTTTTCTGTTTGTTCCTTTTCCTTTTTTATTTCCCCTTTCTTTTGTATATTAAAGCAATATCATACCTGCTTTGAGGTGGTGACTGTAGGTGTTCCAAATACAACAGGCCATTGGAATTGATGCTCAGTAAAATTTCATCCTTAGAAATAAGATGTATTTGAAAAGGTTTTGCCATTATATGAATCTGCTGGTCTTGCTCAGCACCTACCAGCACAAGTTTGTCTGCATCTTTCTCTGATATCTTCAGCCTTGGAAATGGAAAAAGGAAAAAGACCAGCACAGATAGCTAAACATTCTAAAAAAAAAAAAAAGCTATCAATTCTAGCAAAAGAAACATTAAGCATGGAGTGTACATAAAAAATTATTGGGTTATGACAGAAAAACTGCTCATGGACTGTTTATCAGCTGAATGGGAAGACTGACCAAGATTATTCAGTGTACCCAGGGTTAAATGCTGTATTTAATAACTGAGCTGTTTCCTATATGATTTATAATGTGGATATTTTTGGTTAGTTTTCTAACTGGTCCTCTTTTTCTTTCTGTATTTTTCTCTTTATATGTTAAAGCAAATAAAAATTAAAAATTGTAATACATGGAAAGGACAAAGGTTCCTCACTACGTACTAGTGAGTGAGATCACTTTTGCAATATTATAAATAAATAATTAAATAAAGTATGCCAGATTCTGCTTGGCTGTGAGTCCTTCCAAATATCCTTCAGATGTTTTGATCTATAGCACCCATTATGTAAAGTATAAGGCTTTATACTTATATAAAGTATTATGTATAAAAGTATAAAGTAAATTAAGTTTTTGCTTAATTTTTATTCTCATTTTAAGATCACAGGAAGCGAATTTCATTTTATTTAAAGCAATTTAAATGACAGGGGTGCTAAATAGGAAAAAAAATGCTAAAATGCTAATGTGAAAAAACTCTCAAAATATTATATGTGAAGAACATAGATGTATCCTACACAAACCCTAGCTATCTGTACTGTTCAATAATAAACATTTATTTGAATGATGAAGACCCAGTGTGAAGTCCATATTTATTCCATATGTAGTAAAATATCTGACACCATATTCCTTCAAAAAATTCTCCTGATATTTATTTTCTAAACTGGAGAGCTAAAACTCAACTTATATAAATACCCCAGTGGCAAAAAGAGGAATTGTTCCCAATCTACATCTGATCTAAGGTATCACTTTCCATAACTTACCTCAAGCTAGCTGGTTCCTGTATGAGAACATCAGGGACTTCATATCTTGGCTTGAGTGGATTTACCTCATTTATTTTAAGTCTGAAAATATTGCCCTCTATTTCATACATTTCTACTGAAAGAGTTACCTAGTAATTGAATAAGCACAGTAAACCAATTAGAGAATACTAATATGCTATACTAGACAAAACACCAATTTCTCACAAAACATTCATTTTCTTATTTTTTTATTATTTATTCAAAATAATAAAAAAGACAGTTTCAACATACTGTAAGTTTTCTACTGAAAAGACTTATTTGTGAGTGTTTGCTACCAAACAGATTAGCAGTAAATCAGTAATAACAAAATACAGTACCTAATGGCATTCTAAACTGCTTTCAGCAATAAAGTTCGCGCTGAAAATTTATACTTTTCTGATCATCTTAAATTAAATGGGAATAGCTATATCATTTGTTATTCTAGGTATTTAATATTGTGATCCTCTACATATTCAAGCAGGAGCGTGACTGAATTCAGTTGACCAGATATCTGAATAGATATGAATTGAATTGAATTGTATATTTTTATCTATCTATCTATCTATCTATCTATCTATCTATCTATCTATCTATTCCATCTCCCTTATAAAGTGATTATGGGTAGCTTACAAGTTTTAAAATAAGTAGAAAAATAATTAAAATAATTGAAACATTTTAGACTCTAGGTACCCATATTCCAATATGGGAATATTACCATTCCCATGGTAATATTCTCCTTGCAATTAATCAGGGCAAAAGACAATCTGATGAAGGCACCATTCATGGTTTCAGTAGAGTTAAGAAACATCTCTTGAAATCCCTGACCTTTTCTAACTTCAGAGCTAAATACTGCTCTGATTTGTATGCTTTGTTCAACCATATTGAACAAATTAATATTTGGGTTTCCTAACATAACCGTTACATTTTGACGTACAGACATAATATATAGGTTTCCACAACTTTCTAACCAAACAGATTAGCAGTAAATCAGTAATAACGAAATACAGTACCTAATGGCATTCTAAACTGCTTTCAGCAATAAAGTTCGCGCTGAAAATTTATACTTTTCTGATCATCTTAAATTAAATGGGAATAGCTATATCATTTGTTATTCTAGGTATTTAATATTGTGATCCTCTACATATTCTACATATTTCTAAGCCCATAAATAAATTGTTGTCTGGTTTATCACAAACGTGGATCCAACCATAGTGCTTGGTTAGGCATGATGAAAAATCATGAGTTTCAAAATGATGGTGCACACACCAGCATAAACCGGGCCTTCTTTCACATGCTGGACTTCTTTCATGAAAGAAGGACCAAGGCAGGGCATGAAGGAAGGCCCTGGCTAAAGTGCAAATGGAGACCCTGGATGGGGAGCAAGAGGAATCCTGTCCACATTGGAGTGAAAGAAAGCAACATGAAAGAAGATCTTGGTCAGTACAGCATTAGGGTGCAATGAAGTGGGCAAGATGTTGTGGCAGTTGGCCATAGTAGATAGGTGGGTGGCCAAAAGGCATTAGTAATTGAAGGTGGGCCTGAGGAGTGTTTGAATTTTGAGGGCGCTGCAATGACTGAAACTTTGAGGACCAGCTCCTTTATTCAGCACCATTGTAACTTTGAAAGTTCACTGAATGATTGGACTTTAAATGAGAACTACCTATATGTTGACCTAGCTTCATGGCAGAAACATTTGAAATATTGAAAATAAATTGGTTGATAAATAAAATAATGTATATAACATTAAGGGACGCGGTGGCTCAGTGGCTAAGACGCTGAGCTTGTCGATCGAAAGATTGGCAGTTCAGTGGTTCGAATCCCTAGGGTTGCGTAATGGTGTGAGCGCCTGTTACTTGTCCCAGCTTCTGCCAGCCTAGAAGTTCAAAAGCATGTAAAAAATGCAAATAGAAAAATAGGGACCACTTTTGGTGGGAAGGTGCCTTCCATGCACCTTCGGCATTTAGTCATGCCGGCCACATGACCACAGAGACATCTTTGGACAGCGCTGGCTCTTCGGCTTTGAAACAGAGATGAGCACCGCCCTCTAGAGTCGGGAACAACTAGCACATATATGCGAGGGGAACCTTTACCTTTACTATAACATTAATTATGGAAGGAGAAGCTTTTGAAATATTACATAATACCACCACATATTTGTCATGCAAAGTTCTCAAACGTAAATAAATACTAGCTAATATTATTTAAATACTTCCCAACATGATATAAAATACTACCTAACATCCACCAAATCAAAAAGGTAGACTGATTTTACATGCAAACTGGGCATTCATGTTTTTGATCAATCACACTGAGAGGTACTCCTACCTTGCTATCTTCATTGAAAATTTGGAATTTGACATTGCTGTTGGATAGTTCCACAGTTTGTAGTAAGGCTTGGTATGGTGATTTTCCAGGACATAAACGTTTCTGACGCCTGATGTACCCAACAAAGAACATAAAAATTTATATTACCTGTATTATAGATAAGAATGTGATCATATTTAAAGAGTTGACTAAATCCCAAGAGTTGATTAAATCCCATTAGACCAAATTACATAATTTCAAATCAATATTAAAAAGAGGCATGTTTTGTTATATTTTCATCTTATTTTTATTTCTGATAGGTGGCCATTCTAATTGAATAAATAAATCTGGAATACAGGGTAGAGTTCTGATTATTCGACAAATAATAAAACAGCACTGGATAAAGTGCAGCAGAGGGCAACTAAAATCTGATTACTGAACAGAAGAAACAATTATGATATCTGGCACTCCTATTAGAAAGAAAGAAAGCACACCTGGGGTTTTAAAGTCATTCATGGCATGGAGAAAGTGGACAGGAGAAATATGCTATCCTTTCTCAAAATGCTAGGAAGAGGAGCCATCCAACGAAAATGATTGGAAGGAGATTTAAAAGAACCAAAGGAAAAAATTATTTCCAAGCATGTAATTTAGTTGTGGAATCAGGCAGGTATACTACTGTACTAACTTACAACTTGTCTTGCTAACCCTTGCAATATCAGTTGTCAGGTAACGAAGATGGGAAGAGATATGTCGGTATCTCCTGCTTAGGAACATTCAAAAGGCAGCTGGTTGGTCACAAATTACTGAGGTAATGTCAATCTTACGAGGGAGACCACATCAGGAACTGGACTCTATAGGAAGGCTAGAACTACACTGTGTTGAGGTAGACTATAATAATATAATATTTCTCAGATGCTCAGACTTTTCTCTTTACCAAAGCTTTCTCAGTGTGAAGGTTGGAAGATTTTTCCCCCTCCTCTCTCCCCTTTTTAATCTATATGTTCAAAAAAATATTTTTATATTGTTATTTTATATTGGTTTGAGGATTGCTTTATTGTATATTTCACAGTTGTTTTGATTGTAACCTATCTTGGGAGGCTTGACATTTGAGGAAATACATAAAGGGTTTAACTATATTAATGAAACAAATTTAAAATTAGAGCTAGAAGATCCTGGCCAAAAAAACCTGGACCACCACTAAACGGCAGCAAGAGTTAAGGTGAGGTTTTTTTTTAAATATCTGTGTTGTAAATCATCCAAAATCACATTGGTAGGATGGGCAGTGTAGAAATTTAATAAATAAATACATAAAACTCTTTGTTGCCATGTAGAGGTCATACGGATTTTTTTGCAGCACAGATCTAGTAGCCCTTATAAAGTTCCCCTCAATGCAAATTTTGCACTATAAGATATATTACTGTAATCGTTCTTCAGTGAGAGTTGTGCCATACTTTGTGATGTTATATGAATACAATAGTTGCAGATAACAAAATATTCATAATCTTTACCTGTAAAAGGCAATTTGCTTGCATGTCTTGAAACGGCTTTTATCCACAGCCTCATCTTGAACGCTAAGTACAAGAAAATACAACATTTCTAAAAAGTATAGTGAAGAAACAAAAACTATTTTCCCCTCAGCTATAGACACCAGTACAAGCTTATTCTGATCACATATAATGGAAAATTCTTAAATAATTGCCTGTATTAATTGCATACTGGTCACACTAAGCAATGGATTCTACATTACACGTAATATTTGCAAGAATGATTCACTTTCAGTTTATCAATATTATTCCAAAACAATAAAGTGAAACCTTTATTGCCAGTTGACTGAGAAAATCTAAGTCAATTAAATGAAGACATTCTTATGGTGTCCTTTCAAAATTTTCAAACGGATTATCTTCTTTAAGCAGATATTGACTACTTATTCCAATTCTCAAGTATCCAAACCTGCAAAAGTCAGCTCAACCAGTAAAGTAAACCCGTGTCCAAGGCTGGTATAATGCTCCTTATAAAATTAAGCAACGAACTAATCCATTTCATGTTTTTAATAACATTGTGTTTTTAATATCTTTTTTGTTTTTTATTTTATGCTGCTCAGGGTCGATGGTGGAAAATATGGTTGACAAACAAACAAACATCATATATCTTCACAATTAGGTCAAACAAAACAAAAATAAAACTCTTGTAGGGCGGTAAAATGTATGTTTTCTCACTGCAAGAAACACTAATTCTACTATAATTAAATCAAGGGGTGCTGATTTGATTATATACACACATAGAAAATATTCTGGCACTGCTACCTAGAATTCAACAAGCCAAGCATAAGATTGATTGAAATAGAGAAATGTGAATAAATAATTAACTTCTAAAACCCTAAAAAGCTTTGTATGAGCTTCAACTCATACATATGCACAACCCTTCATGTCAAATGACTGCATGCAGCCCATTTCAAAATATCTGTATTCATATGACTGCAGTAATCAAGTTGCAACAAGACTATCCTATTGAAAAAAGATAAAACAATAGGTTTACATTGTCAACTTTCACTTTCTCAATTAAGCTGCTTTTCCGAGTGTCATGTGATTAATTTTGTATTTCTGGAACTTCTTCACTTTATATTTGCTAGTATAATTATATTATTTATTACGTATATTAATTAGTGTCAATGCTGTAAATGTATTATTTGCATTCCATCTATGTTTTTATTCTCAGCTCTGTTCTGTAAGCGTGTAGTCTTAATTTCTGCATGAATTCAAACTAACATTTCAGAACTAAAAATTATTTGGATTCTTTTAGAATCATGCATTGTGCTTAAGAACATTTGCAAATCAGTTACTGCAAATTCATATATATGTATCTACCTGATTTCTTGACTGCTTGATTGCATGATCCGGAGTAAGCTATTTTTGAACCATTCGTTAGGAAACGAAGAGGAAATTCTCTAGCCAATAAGTTTCCATTTCACAGTCCCTTGTTGCATGCTGGGAAATGGAGTTTTTATTTCTGATAGTCCTGCCCACTTCACCAATAACGTGGAAGAGACGACAGCATGCATATGCTTTGCAGCTAGTATTTCTGTAGTGCTCAGAGAGCTGCATTCAGGATAGAACTGAAAAAGTATTACTTCCTATTACTGTTTTCTTACATCAGTTTAATTGTACAGGAGTATACAAATCCAATAAATGAAATAAATGAAATGAAATGAAGGAGTAAAGTAAGTTATGCCAATTCCTAGTTCCAAAAATATGAATAAAAACGAATATCTACTGAAATATTTTATTCAAAATATTAAGGAAATCTCTTAGTTTTCATTCATCTTTTTTTTTTACCTCCTTGTTTAATTCTATTGTGGCTCTGCCCCCCCCCCTTCTGACAAATTTCCAAGTAATTTCTCTCTGTCCCTTTTGGCACTTTTAAGAGACCATCTGCTATCAACATTTTAGAAAGGCAATTTTCACTGTGTTACCTAAATGCAAAAGCATCCATTTTGCTCTAAGTAAGATATGGTTTCAAACTGAAGGCTGTTTTAAATCTACCATAAAAATACTGAATGGGATTAATTACCCAGCTGTGCCACCATTTATAAAAGTCATTAAAATGCTGTCTGTTGTATAGACACTGCTTGGATCTGTTAATATTTTATTACAATTCTTAATTACCTTTAGACTGAGTGGGTGCAACTCACCCATTCTCCCAAAAAACAAGCAGAGGGCACATTGTGCTTCCAGACTTGGTAGGATTGAATCCCTATCCAAGCCTGCACACTTTCCAGGCACTGGGAGAGGATCTTGACAGTCTCACTTTTAAACCTGGGGCTCCAAGATATAACTGGATTAGTAGATGACCTTACCTGGTGGTTCCATGTAGATATTAAGCAGGAGGGGAGAGAGTGTTGAGTCCTGTGACATTCCACAAAGGAGCATTGTAGAGAGTGAACTCTTCCCCTATCAACATCAACTGGAATAACTCCCCCCCCCAAAGAAAGTAGAGAATCACTATGCCCACAATTCTGAAACCCAAGAGTCAGTGCAGTGGGATACCATGGTCAACAATATCAAAAACCTCTGAGAGATCAAGGAGTGCAAGGATGGATGCACCACTTTGATCTCAGCTCCACCGATCGTCAACAAGTGTGATCAAGACTGTCTTCATTTTGATGACTGAAACAAAGTGCACTAAAACAGTGCTTCTTAAACTGACTCAATTACCCCTTTTCTTGATCTTTAATATCATTATTCCCATAAAACAAATAAAAAAAACAACATCCCAGACTGTTTTATACAGATGACTCAGCAGCAGCAGTCCCAAATTGGGTCCTCCACTCAGAAACAAGCAATTACAAATTGCTCAATTACCCCCAGGTTATGCCCACATTACCACCAAACTTGATTTGGGATTAGCCACCCTAAGAAACCAGTCATTTAAAACCTCATTGCAAAGTTTGTCAGTTGAATGCCTCCATTAGGAAATGTGTGCTCAAAATTTCTCTGTAGAATTAGGACAGAGTGGGTATTTTTTAAGAGCGGATAGAACAGAATCAAACTTAATTCTGGCTCCAAATCAAAGCTATGTTGTAGAATAGCCTGTTGTAAATAAATTTCCTTTCGATCCTGCCTGATTTCTTGTGACTTCATGGTTACACCCAAGTACAGATAGTTCTTGTACAGATAGTTCTTGATTTACAACAGTTTGTTTAGTGGCTGTTCGAAGTTATGATGACACTGAAAAACTGACTTACGACTGTTTTTCACATTTACAACCGTTGTAGCACTTCCATGATCAAAATTCAGGTGCTTGGCAACTGACTCAAATTTATGACGTTGCAGTGTCCTGGGGTAATGTGATCATCTTTTGTGACAAGCAAAGTCAATGGGGAAACCAGATTCACTTAACAATCGTGTTATTTAACAACTGCAGTGATTCACTTAGCAACTGTGGCAAGAAAGGTCATAAAACAGGACAAAACTCACATAACAAATGTCTCACTTAGCAACAGAAATTTTAGGCTGACTTGTGGTCGTAAATCGAAGACTACCTGTAGTTTTCCTAACAACAATGCTTCAGTGGTCGTAGACATCCCTTTCTTCTGGGATATTTTTCATGTCCCATTCTAGCTCACAGCTGTAAAATTTTGCAATGTTCTCCTTTCCAAATACTAACCAGGTCCAATTCTGCTTTTGGAAAATAAACAGTGGTGGCCAGAGGCCTCAAGTCTCTACATAAACATGGGTTTTATTCACGGTATAGATGAAGCTCACATGAAAACGAAGTATTTAGAGGATCTGTCCTCTTAAACGACGCACTGTACAAAGATTCTGCTTGTTTAATGGAACAAATAATAAAAAGGATGCAAAGTCCGCATTTCCCAGCACTCCGCCCGGAGCAAATCGAACGCGGAACAGAACACGGGTAATCCACGCTCGCCCTCCGCAGCAGAACTTGCTCCCGACCCAACCGCGCGGAGAGAAGGAGCATCTCGCCACCGCCACCGCCACTCTCGCGAAAGCCCCGTTGGCTCTGCGGAAGAGCCGCGCTCCCCGCCCATCTCGCCTGGGCGCTGGAGCCAATCCGGCGGTGCCCCATCACTCGCCCTCGGTTCGGAATCTCGGCGGAAGAGCGGAAGGGGAGGCGAGCGCTCCGGAGCGGGTTCTTTTCCTTGTCGATTTCGCTGAGAAGGGATGGCGGTGCCAGGCGCGTCGGGGAGGATGCTGCCGCTGCCGCTGCCGCGGGGGCGCCTCTCTGTAGGGCTGACCCTGCTGCTCCTCCAGCTCCTCTTTGCGGAGCTGCCGTGCCCGGCTGGAGCCAGCCAGTACTCCAAGTGGGAACTGCCGCTGCCCATGGTGAGCTCGCAGGGCAGCCCACTCCGTCACACCGTCCTTTTGAATGGGCAGGGCGAAGAGCAAGGCAGGTGGCTTGGATTTGAGGGGGCTGGACGCCCCTGCCCGGGGCAGGGTTGCCGTGAAGGCCGGGGGTGGTGGGGTCGGTTGGAGGCTCTGGAGCCACCTGGAGCCTTTCCATCTTTCCTGTCTTCCTGGAAAGCTGCCTTCTGGGATGAGGCAGTTTGGGCAGTTTGTGGTTTGTTTTGGTGTCCGGTTTGACACATCTGGACAGGGTTTTTGCCTCTGTTTCGATTTTTAATAACTGAGATTGAACTGGTTTCATCGGGAACTATCCGTTTTTCAAAATCCTGCCATGTGCGTGTGAATGAAATAAATAATCCCGGAAGCAGGCCCTGAGCTTCCGATACATTATTATTTTTTATCTCAACGCTATTACATACAGGTGTGGGGTAGGAGATTTGGTTAAAGAGGAAGAAGATCTTGTGGTTGAAGGGTTGCCCATCCAATTAGAAGGCTAGAAAGGAGGCCGTCACAAAATTGTTCCAAAAAATCTGTTAATAAAGAGAGTGTGTTTCATATTCTATTGCTGAAAAGATTAATCTTAGCAGCAATATGAGCTAATGCTGATGACATTTGCAGAAAGATTTTAGCATCGACTTCTGTTTTATTCATGGGATGAATGCTTTCATAATCTGGGAGCTTCCCCTATCTTAATTTCTCACCCAAGAAATAGTATAAGAGTTGTATCTTGAAAGTAATTATTACTGGTATCTGAGAACAAAATACTGGAACAAGAAGGTTTCAGAACGCCAGTGTGGTGAAATATTAACTAAAAGCTGGTGGCAGGCTATCTGAGCCCTTAATCTGGTTTGCAATTCAGATAGTACCGTTGTTCCCCAAAAATAAGACCCTGTCTTATATTTTTTTGAACCCTGAAATAAGCACTTAGCCTTATTTTCAGGGAGGTCTTATTATTTTGGGGCGTGTGGAGCAAGATGGGGCTTCTCTTGCCGTCTTACCTGATTTCCAGCTCTGCGTTTAAATATTTTTGGGGAGGACTTATTTTCGAGGGGAGGCTTATTTTAGCGCATGTGCCCAAAAGCCCAATTGGGCTTATTATCAGGGGGTGTCTTATTTTCGGGGAAACAGGGTATATTCTTCCTTGCTACAACCTTTGTGTCCTATATTAGTCTCATTGTGAGTTACTGGCTCAAGGTAGCAGAGATAAGGGATCAGAGCGAGGATTTGAACTTGAACATCAGGATGCTTTCAAATAGACATTTGATGAAAGCAACATGCACTTTTTTCTCTTTAGTTGATTGTTATTTGTGTGGGGAAAAAATCTATAGAAAATTTAGTATATACTGACTGGACCTTCCATTGCAAATTAGGCAAGCAGTGCAGAAAAATCATATTTGGGAGTATTCAAAGTACCTATCACATCATGCACTTACCGATATATATGTTTAGCTAAAGCGAATCTTCAGTTTTAATCGGGTGGCATTTTTAATACATTGCACCTACAAAGATCAGATATGTATTTTCCTCAGTTATCTTAATTAAAAGAAAAAAAAGACTTATTCAGAGTTGCTTGCTTCTAAGAAAGTATGAATAGAATTATAACCTCAATATGTGCAATAATGGGTATTATAAGAAAACTTTATGCACTTCATTTCAGTGAAGCACTTATGGCATGATTTTATATGAAAAATCCTGTTAGTGAGTGATAGGCTTGTCTAAGCTACCCATACATTCTTAGTTGAGAGGATATTTGAAATCAAATGTAGGGTTAATTGAACTCTGCCTCCTTTTTCATTGAATATACCACCTTCCATATTTGAAGATATTTCATATAGGTATATTTCTTAGTTTTTGACAGTAGCAACCATAATGTGATTTGCTGCAAGTTTTAAATATGAATGACATTCATAAATATGAATTACACATAAATGATTCTGTGTAGCCTTATTTCTGTTTATTTCTTTCTTACTTTGTCATATTTATATGATCGCTCTTTTTACAGACAAGTGACTCTGGGTGGTATACAGTAAAGCTTATATTTGCTTTACTGTGTGCCATCTAGGCTGATGACACAAGCAGATTGTCAGGGATGTCCGGAAAGTTAAAA